AAACCTGCCACAGTGACACTTTGTCCACCACAAATCCCACGTTCACTGACCTGGCCTCGAACCCGGGACGCCGCAGTGGAAAACCGGCGACTAACCGCCTGAGCTATGGTGCGGCCTATCCATAGTAATTACTTCAACTTCACTGAATGACTAACTAGACAGTAGCAATTACTGTACAAAGAGTTCTATTTTCTGAAATACAACGCCGTGTAGTAAGCTGAAATTTTCTGAGAAGTAGTTGGTCTAGAACAGGGGTCCACTCAGCCTCGTGAGGATAATTGAGGAGCTATTTCAAGGAAATAGCGGCTCCTGTCTCGAAAACCGTGGGGATTCGTTGTGCTGACCACGCGATACCCTCTATCCGCAAACGCTGGCACTAACTTTGCCGACAAGGAGCGGTCGCTCGGTCTGTATAGTTCCCTTACGGACTAAAACCACGGAGTTTGTTTTCTTTGTAGCAAGCTGAAAGCTAACTCATGTTTCGGAAGAACATGTCGCCTCCATCTTCAGTGTCGAATAACAGGCCAAGAAAGAAACGAGCATGAAGCAGGTAGCAAGCAGAGTTCTACAAAGATTCATCTGCAGTGTGGACCGCCATCCCGAGTTGTAACGACGTCGTAACCACCTGAAAGTACAATCGAACGAAATGCGCCGTGTCACAAAATGTTTAGGACTCACTCAACGTGGGTAAAATTTCATCCCACCCGCGAGCATTACCTTCCGTCGGTCTGGCTACATATTCAGAAACGGTTACCTAACTAAGTCCATGGAGATGAGTCCTTCTTGAGAAGCCGCCAGTTGCTCAGCTACTCAAGAATTTCCCAGCATTTTATGAAACCAGAATGTTCCTTACCGTGTTCACGAGAGCCCTCCATTGGTCCCTATCTTGGGCCAAATCAATCCAGTCCAGACCACCCCATCGGATCTCTCCAAGATCAATTTTAATATCATACATCCACCTACGCCTTGGTCTTCCCAGTGGTCTCTTTCCTTCTGGCTTTCCCACCAATATTCTATATGCATTCCTCTTCGCCCCATTTGAGCTACATGCCCTGCCCACCTCACCCTCCTTGACTTGATCATTCCAGTTATACTTGAAGAGTACAAGTTATGAAGCTCCTCATTATTCAGTTTTTCCAACCTCATGTCACTTCATCCCTCTTCGGTCCAAATATTCTCCTCAACACCCTGTTGTCAAACACCCTCAGTCTATGTTCCTCCCTTAATGTCAGAGACCAACTTTCACACCCATACAGAACCACAGGCAAAATTATAGTTTTGTGTATTATAATTTTTACGATTTTATACAGACGAGAAGACAAAAGATTCTGCAATGAATGGTAGCAAGCATTACCCGAATTCAATCTCCTCTTAATTTTTTCCTGAATCAGGTTTTGATTTGTTATAGTCGTTTCCAAATACTTGAACTGTGCCACATTTTCAAAACATCTGTTTCCTATCTTTGCGTCATGATTTTGCCCTGAATTCTGGTGACGAGACAGCAACACATACTTAGTTCTCTCTGTGTTTACTTCTGGACCAAACTCCTCACTAGCGGCAATTAAATTTCAGTGTGTGTTTTTCTTCATGGTATCTGTTGTCTCCTATCAGATTCACATGATCGGCATAGACCGGCAGCTGACGTGTCCCATTTAATTTCAGTCTCACTTGGTTTAGGCGCCGTGGTAACGTAGTCGGTATAGCGGTATGGACGGCGCAGGGGTCGGAGTTCGAGTCCCGGTAGGGTCAAGTATTTTCTCTTCTCCAAGTCGTCCGGACCGGCTCTGGGGTCCACCCAACCTCCTATCCAATGGGTACAGGAGTTCTTTCCCCGGGGGTAAAGTGGCAGTAACGTGAAGCTGACCACTCACCCCCAGCTAGTGCCGAGGTCAATAAAATATGGATCTATACATCTCTTCCCCTAAACGCCTTTATGGTGTAGTGCTTAATTCGTTAAGCACAGGGACAACTTTCCTGGACCTTCCTAATGACATATTCTAAAGCAAAATTGAAAAGCAGTGGCGATAAAGCATCTCCTTGTTTTAGACCATTTTAGACGAATGTTTTCCGATACGGATTTAACTATAGGTTTCATTTGAACATATTTTAGCTAGCCTAACTAGTTCAAAGGCGGTTAGGAACTGAAACGAGGAAATCTACTTTCAAAATGATGTCATGGGGAAATATGAATGTGATTGGCCGCTGCGTGCAACCAATGAGAGAGCAGCGGGTAAAATGAGTGTCCCGGTTTGTGAGGCAGCACGGCAGCCATCCTGCGGTGCGTTGTGTTGGCCGGTCTCTTCAGTTTGTCCGCGGCTCCTGCTGTAGCTGCATGGTAGTGCAATCGATAGGTCGTACATCAACTGAATACCGATTTTTGTTTTGTTGTTGACAGTGATCTCGACGAATTCGGTATATTTGATAACTCGGTAACAACGGCAAGTAATATAACTTGTGAGAGTATAAGTGACTGACGCGTTCTGTCCCTGAAAGGCGACAAAGAGTTGCCCAAGAATTTTACACAGGTAAGAATTACAGGTAGATGGTGATCAAATAAAAATGGTGTTTCCCCTTAGTAGCTCACCGTAACAGAGACCTTGACATGTTCTCCGTTTTAATGTGGATTTCAGCAGTGTCCACCATTGCGGATATGAAACGTTTTGCTATCGAGGTATGTTTGAAGTGTTAGTATGACAAACTGCGGTACGTTTCAAATATAACAAGGAAGGAGTTTCAAAATAGAGTTGTTCTTAAAGTCATCACCATTTTTCTAGAAAGAACGTTTTAAATGCCACGAATTTTGGCCCAAAGCAGGTCTTTTAAGGGCATTTTCGGCGTGTCTGTACTGACGAGTACAGCTAAAATGCACCTAGGATTTTGTTTTTTTGGAACGAACGACTATTACATTGATTAATAATTCAGCTGCTGTTTACACAGCTGTCCTTACAAGACAAATTTTTTATATTTTGTAAGAGAGAAACTTATTATCTTATACCGACCAAGATATTTCAGAAAGGATTTCACCCCTCGAACCCGTCTGGTGGTGTGTTGCATTGGCTGTTTTAATATTTAATAAAAATTTTACTCAGGATACTAATATAGCAAAAATGTGGGCTTACGGTTCAATTTCTGGGCTATATTTGAAACATTTGTGTTCATTTCTACAAGCATGCATTATTTGGGTTCATTATTAACTTCTTTACGTATTTATTATGAATATTTTCGCCTAATTCCTGCAAAACCGGCAGTATACAGTTCCCTATTTATATTACCCAGACTTTTTTTTTTCACGACATCGTCAATAAATTTCTTTTTGGTAATAAATGCCACCAAAAATCGGGTAGTTCCGCATTTACGTCTTCTCAGTAAGGGTTCCGAATAAATTAGCAGATGATGAGGCTGGGTTCACATTCCATTGACCAGCACTTCGGTAAGTCACATATGCAGCATAACTGACGCGATAATTTTGCGTTTAGTAATATTACGGGCACGAATGATATAAATATAGAATTTACACATGATAAGCAGGAGACGGAATAGCGCAGTCAGTATAGCGACTGGCTACGGGCTGGACGACAGAGGGGTCGGAGTTCGAGTCCCGGTAGGGGCAGTATTTTTCTCTTCTCCACGTCAAGACCGGTTCTGGGGCCCATCCAGCCTCCTATACAGTTGGTTCTGGTGGTAAAGCGGCCGGGGCGTGAAGCTGAACAATCACGTCTAACTAGTGCTGAGTTCAAGAAAACGTGGATCTATACATCCGCTCCCCCATACGCCTTTATGGAGCAGTGCTTAATTAGTTAAGCACAGGGACAACTTTACATTCATCACCTGTTAAGGCAAGGAAAACGATACCGGTAAGCCCCCCTCACTGTCAAACGGCTCACTTTATAGTGAAACCTACTGAAGAAGTCAGTTTGATACACGAAGCCTGCTTGTACAGTGGGAAGTGCGCCTCCAGTTTTAAGCTGCTTTAAAGGTGTGGACCAAACAGATGCAATGTTAGGCTGTGTCCACATTAGCGAGCCGAGGTTCCAGCCTAGTCGCGAGCACATGTTATAACTTTCCATGCGGCTCGCAGTTATGTTAGCCAACTATGGACGTGTAAGATTTGAGGCTTTCACGGCGGTGACTATGAAGAAAGCAGTCTTCTGATATTTGGCACTGTGTATATGTGGTGTTAACCGACGTTTCGGAGGAACGTATCGCCTNATGCGTACGAAGACTCAGGCATATTATCACGTTTTAAGACAGGTCTTATGGGATGTGACGCCGTGTAGTCTGGTAAATTGTTACCAGCGTGTCGTTGGTTCTTACTGCCGTCAGCCAACCCCGACGTTAGTAATCGTTTACCAGACTACACTGCGTCATAATCCAATTTGAAACAGATCGTTTTGTTATCGTTCCTTATTTATTAATCTGTGAACCCCCCCCCCCAAATACTGATTCTGTGGGTTGAACGCGTAAAACACGGGGAATGGGAGAGGGGCACTGTGCTACAAGCCGGAAGGTCGCGGTGTCGATTTCCGATGAGGTCATTGGATTTTTCAATTTACCCTCTCCTAGCCGCTCTATGGCCCTTGGGTCGACTCGGCCTCTTACAGAAATGAGTACCAGGAATATTCCTGGGGGTAAAGGGGGGCCGAGGCTTAAGGCTGACAACCTCACCGCCATTTGAGAGTGGACTGTATGGAAAATGTGGGAGCCTCGACGTCTCACAACCCTATGGGCCTGCACGGCCTGTTACAGGGATAGCTTTACCTTTTACCCTTAGGGGGATGGAGGGAAGACTTGAACTTTGGAGACTTAGACTGGAGGATAATATTAAACTAGATCTGACTACATAATGTAAAACGATTTGGACCAGATTATTTGTCTCAGGTTGGAGTCAAGAAGCCGGTTCTTTTAAGTACTGTAGTCTGATGAGCGTCCGAGTTTCACCAGAGGGGAGAAATTTCCTCACGAGCTGAGCGACTATTATCTCCTTAATCCCACTGCTGTTATATTAGATTTTTTTTATTGTTAGTGGGGTGGGACTAAGTCCCTTGTACTGCGGCCACTTCTGGCCTATTGTACCAGCCCCAGATGATAGGTGAGGGTGATTGTGGAGCAGTTGGTGGAATGAAGATTGGCAGGGGAAACTGAAGTACTCGGAGAAAACCTATCCCAGCGCCACTTTGTCCACCACAAATCCCACTTGACCAGACCCGGGATCGAACCCGGGCCGCCGCGGTATATTAGACTTAGTCCACGTCAAGAAATAATCGTCCTCTTTGGCTGCATCATTAGGATTCAACAGGCTATTAAAATGTATTTTTTTTTCCAATATTTTTAATTTAAAATTACATAACTGTATCACTTTCTGTGATGCGAGTAAGGTAAATCAATTTGGCCAATGACGGCCTTCGATGCAACAGTTTAAGGATTAGAGGCACGTTAACTAACAGTCGACAGTGGCTCGTCTCGCTTCACATATATCTCTACATATGAATGACAGGCAAACACAGCCGGAATTACCCAAACTGAAGGCTCGTGTCAAGTCTGAGATTGCCACCCACACAAGGCCTCTTGACTCTGAGCATGGGGTATGGTGTTGCAAAACTGTGCTCTCGAAACACGAAGTCGTGCCAGGGAGAACAATACGTGACAAAAATACGAAGTGAAACATGATATGAGGTTTCAGCAGAGAAGAAGTTATGGTGTTGCATGGGTAACCGCGTGTAGCAACCTCCAAAAGCCTGCACCACATTCGTAAAGCAAGTAACTCGACACGTTTGTCTCCAAGCATGAAGCGGAGTACAGAATTCGGATTGTAATACTAATCGTTCGTAAGGTAATAAGAGATGAATTGGATTCATCTGACACGGGACAGGATCCAGTACTGGGCTTCTATGACTGCTGTAATGTAACTTCAGGTCCGACAGTTGCTGCATGAACATGTTTACGAGCGTGTGACGACTTTCCCTCGGCTTATTGATTTTCTTCCTGTCAAGAACAGCTGTGCCTGTAAACAGTCAAAAGTAAAAGCAGGCCTGTGCTTGGGTGTGGAGACCTATGACACTGAAGGGTACTATATTCTGGGATATGTCGTCAGTTGAAAGTAAACCGACGTTTAGGAAGAACATCGCCTCCAACTTAAAGAGTCGAATAAGCCGAACAAGATACCAGCGTGAAAGCGTAACCACAGCTGTGAGCACCTCAAACCCTACACATATACACTGAAAAGAAAGACGACTGACGTTAACTTCCTCTAAATCTGAGTTTTGAATGAAACGTGATCTTTGACGTAACCCGGAAACTCTGACCCAAAAGGTTGTCGGATGTGGTTATTTTCCGGATATAAAAACGTTATATCTGATGTTATCTTAGTGTACCTAGTAACGTCATGGAAGGCCGTGTTATAGCTCAAGCGGTTAGTCTATGGCCTCCCACCGCGGCGGCCCGGGTTCGATCCAGGGTCTGGTCAAGTGGGATTTGTGGTGGACAGAGTGGCGCTGGGGCAGGTTTTCTCCAAGTACTTCGGTTTCCCCTGCCAATCTTCATTCCACAAAATTTTCCATCTTAATCACCCAGGGCAGGTACAGTAGGCCAATCAGCGGCCCACCTGCCGAGTGGACCCAGTTGGACTCCACCCCCCACTAAGCGAATTAAAAAACAGTCATGGACAAATAGAACCATTTAATTTGTCACTTGATATAGAGTCCCGTGTTCCCTGCCACACTTTCTGTTCCATTTCATCATTACTGGCGCTGTGTAGATTATGTACTCGTATGGAAATTGTATTTATGCTTTTTTTACCGTACATAGAATTTGTCTCTTTAGTTATGACCTCTGTTGTGACAGCACCCTAGTTTTGACGACAGTAGCCGTGAAATAGGGCGTGGGATATAGGTGCTACGCCGCGTGTGTGGAGTTTCTTTTTAATGTTTGTCGCAACTTTCGCAGATGGTTTCAGCCTACAAGACTGTATGGTGTTACTACAATCTGAACGTGTAATTTCATTTTGCGTTTACGTATAAATTAATCCTTACTAAAGCCAGGACATTAAAACAAACTCCGTGACCTTTAGTCCGCGAGCGACCGTCGCTTGTCGGCGAAGTTAGTGCCAACTTTAGCGGATAGAGGGTGTCGCGGGGTCAGCGCAACGGATTCCCACGGCCGTTAATCACGGTTTTCTAGACTGGAGCCGCTATTTCTCCATTTAAGTAGCTCCTCAGTTATCCTCACGAAGCTGAGTGGACTCCGTTCCAGACACACCACTTCTGAGAAAATCTGGTAGCGCTGGGAATCGAATCCAGAACCTGTAGATTAGTAGCCGGGAACTCTGACCACTAGACCGCAAAGGCCTAGTACACTAAACAATTCTGATTAGATTCTAAAGGGTTCTGACGATGTTGTATAACACGCAAAATTATTGCTTTTTGGACGTCGTCCATCGGCCGGTATCTAAAACCTAGAGAACACAACGTTTCAGAAACTGGATCTGCTTCCGTCTCAGGTGAGGGAGGGGGGCACTTGCCGAGACCTA